GATTCGAGATGTTTTAACAAAATGGAGTAAATTACCAAGAAGTGTTAAAGTGGACGTCGAAGAAGTATATGTGTAAATAAATATTTTAAGTACTTTTATCAAAACTCGATTTTTTTAAGTAGGACACGATCGTTTCAATGCGCTTCTCAATTTTCTAAAATATCAAAGCGTAGCATAACATCGTATGTTGATCCAGTCGATTCATCAAGTTTTCCAATACTAGAAAAATTTGTTAGTATTCTATAAAACTTATAAAATATTTATTTGAATGGGATTTTATTAGATTCGAGATGTTTTAACAAAATGGAGTAAATTACCAAGAAGTGTTAAAGTGGACGTCGAAGAAGTATATGTGTAAATAAAATTTTCAGTTCACATCCAAGAAGAACATTATATATTTTGGGAAAGTATATATTTTCATCTTTTTGTAAAAGATCATGTCAAAATCAGAAAATTAATTTTCCATTAACAATTGGGGGCAAAACACAAACTTTGAACAATTTATCGATTTCACATCTTAATGAAGATGTTCATATTAAAATTGATCAAAATGTAAATCACTACAAATTACTAAATTTAACATTTATTAGTGAACAATTTACAGGTAGACTAATAGCATAATTTTATTATTTATTTACAAATATAATATCTTTCTATTCTAAAGATCCAATCGATTTCATATTTACAATGCAATCAATGCCTAAGCTTCTAATACAACGTCAACGACGAGAAGCATTAAATACTAATGAATATGAGTCCTTACATAAATTGGTGTGTATAAATATTTGACTGTTGATCTCAGAAATTTTTTTTCAAAACTTATCTGATCCTTGAACAGATTTTTTTGATAAACAGTCAAAGTGAATTTATCAATATTGTATTCTAAAGATTTTCACGAATATTTTTTACAGATCCAACAAATGCTTGATCTTACTAACGATAATCGAAATATTTCATTTATTATAACTAATAGCAATTGGACAGAAGCAAGCGATGGTACACAATTAATTGTTACAGTTAAACTTCAGTATCCTGTCTATTGCTCGTCGATATGTTCAGATGCACTTATTACTGAATTGTATACAACACTTCTCAGCACTAGTAAAATCAAGGACTTTACGTATACAAAAGGAACTATGACGTATAAAATATATAAACTTGATTTCCAAGGAGCTGGCAGATCCGTTCCACGTGAGATATAATTATTGTATTTCCAAATTTCCTTATTATTACTATTACTTTTAGTTTCTATACTCATGTTAAGTTACCCAATAGAAAACACAGCAAATATTACTGAAGGTCCAATTACAGACGAAGCTTCACTCACAAATATAAAACATGGCGTCAGTTATTCATTCTATTTAAATAAGTGCATTTACAATATATGACTATTTTCAAATTATAGATAGAAGAATCATTAGATTCATCGACAGACATCGAAATTCTAAGAGCATCCTTTGTCCCAGTAACAACATCTACGGCCAAGGCTTTACCTGTAGAACGACGCCTTCGTCGGGAGCGGCAAAAAAAATACGTACTTGTTGTCATCATACGGTTCATTTTTATATTTTCCACATGTGATCGTCGTTGTCAGCAGAACACTCTGATGCCCATAATCGATCATATACGTCCACCGCCGAAAATTATTATAATAGGCATCGCCTTTATATTACCAAAACCAACCATACGTACGTCATTAAAGTTTCCTTAAACGAAATAGGTATTGAATTTCGTGTAATAATTTAGACACAATTCAAAGTTCTACACAGACATCCGATATAGCGAGTACGTTTGATAGGAAAAAACCATTTGATCATAATAAGTGTCACCATTCTTTGTAGCAACAACACCGAAAACAACAAAAATTCCAACAACATCAAAACAAACAACTGCAACCCCAGGAACTTCAACAATACAAATAACAGGAACTTCAACAATAAAAATAACAGGACCTTCAACAACAACAATATCAGGCACAACAACAACAATACCAGGCACAACAACAACAGCAGCATCAGGCACAACAACAACAGCAGCATCAGACACAACAACAACAGCAGCATCAGACACGACAACAACAGTATCAGGCACAACAACAACAACAATATCAGGCACAACAACAACAATACCAGGCACAACAACAACAGTATCAGGCACAACAACAACAGCAGCATCAGACACAACAACAACAGCAGCATCAGACACGACAACAACAGTATCAGGCACAACAACAACAGTATCAGGCACAACAACAACAGTATCAGACACGACAACAACAGTATCAGATACAACAACAACAGCATCAGACACGACAACAACAGTATCAGATACAACAACAGTATCAGACACGACAACAACTGTATCAGATACAACAACGACAGTATCAGATACAACAACAACAACAGCATCAGACACAACAACAACAGTATCAGACACGACAACAACTGTATCAGATACAACAACAACAACATCAGACACAACAACAACAGTATCAGATACAACAACAACTGTATCAGACACGACAACAACAGTATCAGATACAACAGCAACAGTATCAGATACAACAACAACAGCATCAGACACGACAACAACAGTATCAGATACAACAACAACAGTATCAGACACGACAACAACTGTATCAGATACAACAACAACAGTATCAGATACAACAACAACAACAGCATCAGACACAACAACAACAGTATCAGATACAACAATGACAGCATCAGACACAACAACAACAGTATCAGACACGACAACAACTGTATCAGATACAACAACAACAGCATCAGACACAACAACAACAGTATCAGATACAACAACAACTGTATCAGACACGACAACAACAGTATCAGATACAACAGCAACAGTATCAGACACGACAACAACTGTATCAGATACAACAACAACAGCATCAGACACAACAACAACTGTATCAGACACGACAACAACTGTATCAGATACAACAACAACAGCATCAGACACAACAACAACAGTATCAGATACAACAACAACTGTATCAGACACGACAACAACAGTATCAGATACAACAG